ACAATTCCAGCTTCCTGCGGATGCCCTTGGAGACAGCAGTAATGGCTCAAATAGTTGAGTCCCTGCCACCTACATGGGGCACATGGATTGAGTTCCTGGCTCTGGGCAATTAAGGAGTAAACCAGTGGATCAGTGTTCTCTCTTCCCTTCTCACTCTCTCCCTCTCCACCTCCACCTCCCCACCTTTTAAATAAGTTAATCCTAGGAGGTTGGCACTGTGTCACAGAAGATTAAGCCACCACCTGTGGCGCCGGCATCCCATATGGGTGCCAGTTCAAGCCCTGGCTGCTCCACTTCTGATCCAGCTCCCTGTTATGGCCTGGGAAAGTGGTAGAAGATGGCCCAAGGGCTTGGGCTCCTGCACCCAAGTGGGAGACCTGGAGGAAGCTCCTGGCTCCTGGCTTCACCAGGGCTCAGCCCTGGCCATTGCAGCCATTTGGAGAGTGAACCAGCAGATGGAAGATCTCTCTCTCTCTCGATCTCTCTCTTTCTCTCTCTCTCTTTCGCTATCACTCTTGCTCTCACTCTCTGTAACTCAGCCTTTCAAATAAATAAATAAACCCTTTTTTAAATTTTTTTGACAGGCAGAGTGACAGTGAGAGAGACAGAGAGAAAGGTCTTCCTTTGCCATTGGTTCACCCTCCAATGGTGCACCGTGCTGATCTGATGGCAGGAGCCAGGTACTTATCCTGGTCTCCCATGGGGTGCAGGGCCCAAGTACTTGGGCCATCCTCCACTGCACTCCCTGGCCACAACAGAGAGCTGGCCTGGAAGAGGGGCAACAGGGACAGAATCCGGCGCCCTGACCGGGACTAGAAGCTGGTGTGCCAGTGCCGCAAGGCGGAGGATTAGCCTAGTGAGCCATGGTGCCATTGGTTCACCCTCCAATGGCCGCCACGGCTGGCGCGCTGCGGCCGGTGCACCACGCTGATCCGAAGACAGGAGCCAGGTGCTTCTCCTGGTCTTCCATGGGGTGCAGGGCCCAAGCACTTGGGCCATCCTCCACTGCCTTCCCGGGCCACAGCAGAGAGCTGGCCTGGAAGAGGGGCAACCGGGACGGAATCCGGCACCCCAACCAGGACTAGAACCATGTGTGCCGGCGCCGCTAGGTGGAGGATTAGCCTATTGAGCCGTGGCGCCGGCCCCCCCCTCCCCTTAAAAAAAAAAAAAAAAAAAGGTCCTCCTGTGTTCAAGGACCTTGAGGAAGAAAAGGGTATAATATACAAGTTACAAGTTCACATGGCAGAGGGTGTAATATACAAGTTCACATGGCAGGTGATATTAGTGTGATAGGTTAATCTGCTTCCCAAGGGGGGTTTTCTTGTTAAAAGAAGGTTCCCAGAGCCACACATTTCAACAGCTGGATCCAGGCGTCCTAAACAGCCCAGGTGCACGGCGGATGTGCACCAGTCTGGAGGCAGTATGATTAGGCTGGCTTGGAGTCACCATCAGCCTAGCAGCCCGCCTCCTGGGTTCAATCTGCTACTTTGTAGCTCTGATACTTGGAGCAACTTGCTTCGCTTCTGCCTACCACCTGCCCTGGAAGGAGACTGTGTGACAAGAGGACATAAGCCTAAGTATTTTGAGGGGGGGTGGTGAGGGGAGTGATCCCTAGAAGCAGCTCCAAGGCGAGGCAGTAGCGAGCAGGTCAGCACCATGGGCTGCCCGGTGCAGTAGCCGGGGAAGTGGCCCTCGGAGACAGCTCCCATCAATTCTCCAGCACTCCCGGCCTGCTCGGGGGGCAGAGGACAGCGCAGGCTGGCAGCTGGAGGCCATGGCGTCAACATTCACATGGAGGTATGTATCGGCAGGGACTGCAGCACCACCCACTGGGTGCCTGTACAAAAGGCCTGCGGGGCCCTGGGTGTGGCTGTGCAACGCGCTCAGCACGGAGCCTCGTCCATGCTCAGGGCTTGGTCCACACAGGGCCTGCAGGGGCTGGCAGGGCAGGGTGTGACCCAGGGGCAGGAGGGCGGGGGCGAGCTCCCGCCGGAGCCAGGGTTGGGGGTGGGGAGGAGACGGCCTCTGTAAGGAAGCTCACGAAACACCTGTTAAAGGTGAGTGGTATCTTGGGGGAGTGTGTAGGGGGGACTGGGAGATGAAGGGACTGCTGGTCTACCGGAGACCCTGACCAATACACCTGTTCCTCGCAGGCATGGCCCTGCCCTGTTCTTACCTCTCTGTCCCCCACCCCAGCTGCTCTCTGTGCTCTGTGCACAGCTCGAACCCTCGCTCTTGTGCACAGAGAGCAGTCCAGGCCCAGTCGCCTCCACCCCGCATGCCCATTTTCCTCCGAAGAACTCCTACTCCTGCTTGCGAGGCCCGCTCAGGTGGGACCCCCAGCTAGGCCGCCAAGAAGACGAAAGAAAATGACGGAAGGTGAGCGCTGAGCTTGCCAAGCGGCCAAAGGATGGGATCACTGTGGTTGTTTCAGCTTTAGCTGAGAGACAGAGAGGCACAGACAGACAGATACAGAGAGAGATATCCCACCCACGGGTTCACTCCCCAAACGCCCGCAGGACAGTCAGGGCTGGGCTGGAGCTGGAGCTGCAAGCCGCGAATTCAACCCAGGTCTTCCATGGGGGGAGTGGGCATCGGAGACCCAACGACTGGAACCATCACTGTTGCCTCTCAGGCTCCGCATTAGCAGGAAGCTGGAGACTGGAGCTAGAGCTGGTCTTGAACCCTTGTCCTCTGATATGGGACGTGGGCATCTTCATGGCGGGGTCAAGCAGCCACCCCACGGGAAATTTGCTTGCTTATTGTCCTACACACCTGCCTCCTCTCCTTGAACTTGCTCGGGGTCATGACCCTGCCGGCTGAGCATCCGGGGCTGGGCGGGGGCAGCGCACTGCTGCCCTGTGCACACGTCCAGACCCTGGCTGTCACTGACGTCTCAGCCCAGCCCGGGGCCGGGGCAGGAAGTCCAGAAGAGGCCCTGAGCAGCGCTGAGGATTGGAGGAGAGGAGGCGGGAGGCCGGTGGAGCCCGGAACGAGGCTCAGGTGAAGGCAGCCTGCCAGGCTGAGGTCGTTCATGTGATGTTTGCTTCTGATGCAGCTGCTGCAGGCTGGCCCAGTGCCAAGGGTTCAGCCCACCCAAGCCCCGTCAGAAATGACCTCTCAGCAAGGCCGGTGGGGGGCCACCTGCCCTGCAGACTAGAAGGTGCTCCGCCTCCCCCCATCCCCTGGGACACCACTCGTCTCTGAAGGGCGGCTGCCCTCTGGGAGCTGCGTGTCCGAGTGTGCCCTGGCCCCTCCCGTTTCCTTTGAGGTCTTTACTGCGAATGCTGGACATACTTGTGGCCAGAGAGACAGGGTCACAAAATAACTTTCCTGGATTCCGTATAGGTTGTGTACAGGGCTTGATCCTAAGGGAAGTGCCACTGACCCTCAGCAGGGGGAATAAGACAGGGGCTGGGGCACAGGAGGAGGAGCTGTGGTGTCCGAGGGTGCCCAGCGGACTGGGAGGAGAAAGTGGCGGGGGCGAGGCACGCAGCTGGGGAACGCGCCCTCTTCCCCTGAGCCCCCTTCCCTGTGTAGCTGTGACAGCAGACCCTGGGGAAGCGCTCTCAGCCCGCGTGTGCGTGACAAACGCAATCGCCTCCCGCCACCCAGATCGCAGGCGCAGAGCGGCGGCACGCGGCGCTCCACCAGCCCAGAAAAGCCACCTTGCAGCTTTTCTTCCTACTTCTTTCTTTGGCTTTGGAATTTGTTACAGCATTTTTATTGGTGTAAGACGTGACTTCTCAGTAACTCTTTGTTTATCTCAAAAATAAATGAGAGAGAGAGAGCGCATGCGCACACGCTTGCATTTCCTAAGTGCAAACCAGCCGACAGCACAAGGAGGAGGCCAGCTCCCCCGTGGGGTGGGAGGCGTGGGCCAGGAAGGCGCTGGGGCATGAGGCAGGCAGCACCTCAAGGGGGAGACCCCACGCTGGGATGGGAAGCCTCGGTGTAGCAGGCACCTGGGAGCCGGGGGAGGGGGAGGAAGCAAGCTCACCCGAGGGTGGCATGGTCAGGGTGCTGGCATGGCAGAGAGGAGCGCACGTGGAGAAAGAGCAGTTGGAGAAGGTGGGGCTGAGGCTCCAAGGCAGAGCCGGGGGACTGCCTGCCCCGATTGGCCACAGATTGTCTCGATTTTGACACGGAAAGCCCAGCGTCCTGGGAAACCCTCAGTGCCCGGCACACCAGGGCGGCGGCTCACGGGTCACAGAGGCAAGAAATGCCCAAGGAGCCACCCGCGGGACCTCCCTCTGGGCTGACTGTGCTCCTGCAGCCTGGCCTGAACCGCCTGCCCTGCCCATCCGGCTGGGGTGTGATGGCAAGCTGTGAGCCTGGATGGCAACCCCAGTCTGCCAAGGTAGGTGGCGGGGGGCGGGGGGCCGAGCTGGTGCCGCTCGGAGCCTCGACTCTCGGAGTGGACGGGGCAGCTGTGGCTTTGCCTGCCCAGCAGCCTTTTCCAGTCTGTTTCTGGCTCCTCCAGGCCAGTCCTCTCCTGCAATATGTGGTCTTGGTGGGGCTGTCACCCACGATGCCCTTCTCTTCCCCACCCCTCGGGGCTGGGCGTGTGTCCCAGACGGGGCCGATTATAATGCCATAGCCTCCAGACACTATGATTTGCTCAGGGGTGGGCCTGCACTAAAGCTTGGGACTTTTCTGCTGTTCTGGGAGGGACATTTGCCTGTCTCCTCCTAGAATCCATCAAGAGTGAGCTGGCTGGCTCTCTGGATGGAGCCGTCCTGTGTGCTACAGGAGACAGAAACAGAGTGACGCAAAACGAAAGGGGGACAGACGCAGCAGGAACATTCACTGGAGATGCTTGATCCAGCCGTACCTGCAGCTAGCATGCACCTCCTGGTGGCCTGAACTTTTACACTTGCTGTTCTGCTCCAGCTAGTTCTGAGTCTGTTTCTTGCAACCAAGTGAATCCTCACCAATACAATCCCTCCCTCTCTCTCTCTCTCCCCGCCCCCACTCTTTCTCCTCTCTCTTTATATATATAAAAATTCCTTGCAGAGCTATTGGCCGTTGTGAGTGTTCAATGAGATGATACATGTGAAAGAATTTCCAAAAGCGTAAAACGTCCCGTACATCAGTCATACACTGCAGGGGGACGCAAAACAAGAGTGCAGCAATGGAAAACCGTTCTAGTGATTAAACAGAAACTTGACCGTAGGACTCAGCAGCTCCATGCCAGGTCGGGTCGTGCGGCACTTAAGGACAGAGGCGTGTTCTGAGAAGTGCTGGGTTGGGCGGTTTTGTTGTTGCAATGTGGAGTGCGCCCCCGAGAACCTACAGGGCGAGACTCACCTCACACCTAGGCCCCCTGGGATCACCATCACGGACGGAAACAGCGGGTTGTGGCACGTGACAGTACGGACAAGGGTTCTTCAGAAAGTTTGTGGAAAATTGAACACTAAAGGATAAGGTTGTTTTTGGTAGAAAACAATTTTAAAGCCATAGACAGCTTTTTCCCCATATGAATTTTCTATAAACTTTTGGAAAATATTTCATAGGAATAGATGTCAATATAATATATATATGTATATATATATATATAAAGATGTATTGATTTATTTGAAAGGCAGAGTTACAGAGAGAGACACATTTTCCAACCACTGGCTCCCTCCCCAAAGGGCTACAATAGCCAGGGCTGTGCCTGGCTGAAGCCCAGAGCCTGGAACTCCATCTGGGTCTCCTCCGTGGGTGGCAGGGGCCACCCAAGCACTTGGGCCATCTTCTGCTGCATATCCAGGCACATTGGGAGGGAGCTGGATCAGAAGTGGAGCAGCCAGCAGTCCAACTAGCACTAGCACTCACGGGACGCCAGCGTGGGCAGGAACAGGCGGTAGCTCAATCTACTGGGTCATGACGCTGGCCCTGACATCACCAAGTTGACTTCAACAAGTTCAGGTGAAAAGGAATGAAACTTTTTATTGAAGTTCCCTCGCACCTACCCAAGAGGATTGAAAACCGAAGTTCACACGAAGACTTGCACGCACGTGTTGAAAGTAGCATTATTCATGATGGCCCAAGTAGAAGCATCCAGGCAGGCAGCCCCTGGTGAGCGCCAAGCGTACGGCACAGCCAATGTGGGGACGTGTACTTGGTAACAGAGAGGAGCGAGATGCTGACACTGCGACTGTGTGCTAAACCCTGGAAACCTTACGCAGACCCAAAGGCCACAGATGGGGTGATTCCATCTCCATGAAGTGTTCCGGGGTGGGCAGATGAACACAGACGGAAAGTCGAATGGTGGCTGAAGGATTGGGGAGGGGCCGCCCATGGTTAGAGCGCTTCTTTCGGGGATGATGGAAATGTTGTGTAATCAGTGGTGACGGTTACACAACATCGTGAATGTACTAAAAATTGCTGAATTACATGGTGAACTTTATGGCATGTGAATTATATCTCAATAAAAACTTTAAAAGAGATGAATAAAAAGACCACGTCCCTGTAAAGGATTACTATTATTAGTCAGTGCAAATGCCAGCCTCCAGGAGCCAGCAGCTGGCCCGAGCACTGGCGATGCTCTCATCCCACACCAGAGGGCCTGGGTTCGAGGCCGGGCTCTGGCTCCTGAGGGGCCGTGGTGATGGCTCCAGTCGCTGGATCCCTGCTACCTACAAGGGAGACATGGATGGAGCTCCTGGCACCTGGTTACGGCCTGGACATTTGGGAAGTGAACCAGCGGGTGGGAGATTCTCTCTCTCTCTCTCTCTCTCTCTCTCTCTCTCTCTCTTTCAAATAAGTAAAATACATCTTTTGAAAAAAATCCAAACTTGCCTAAAGTCCTTCATCCAATTCTCTGAGCTGTTCCAGCCTCGCAACTGAGATTGTGCTTTGGTCTCCCACCTGCCGAAATCATGTTTAATAATGATGAAAGAAGAAAGGACGTGCAGGAAGTTCATGGCCAGGAAATTATGAGTAAATGCATCCCTTGAGCTTGGGTCTTGCTTCTCAGCTCCATCGCTGGCTCCCCTCTGTGGGCTTCTGCTGAGTGCCTTGCAGAGCCCGGGACACATAGGCACCTGTTGAAAGAACAAATGTGCTCACACCTCTCCCCCAGCCTTCGGTGTTGCACAAAAGTGCACACACTGAGAGCCACAGCTCCCCGTGAGGACGAGGAAAGTTAATGAATGGAGGCCGTCAACAGCACATGTCCACGGAGCCCATCACCGGGGCCTGGGGCGCCCACCAGCACGCCCCGATCCTGCACAGGTGCTCCGGGTCAGGCTGAGGCACCTGGAGTCTGAGAACCACCAGAGAGAGCAGGAATTTGTGCGAGGCTGGAAGCGAGTTGCAGCCCATGAGACAGGTGCCATCAGGTAAGGGTGCGCTGGATGCAAGGCACCCGGATGTAAACCAACTTAAAGAACGAAGAGGACCCCCTGACCCATCACCGCCAGGTCCCGGGGATTCCCCTGCACATGATCTCCTCTGTCTGCCTCCTCCCAAGGCCAGGTTCCCCGCTTCCCCACCCCAACCCCAACTCCCAGCCCGCTAGAGCCTGCCCCAGCCAGGGAGAGGAGGTGGGGCAGGAGAGAGGGGGAGAACGGTGAGTCAGTTGTGGGTGAGTTGACATGTGCACTCTTGCTAGGGGCTCCTAGGAGAGCAAGCATGCTTATGTCCCAGCAAACCCCTGTCCTTTGTCACACCACCCTTTCTTCCACTGTGGCCTGGGATGGCACACGCACGCTGATGGTTTCAGCTGGAGCCACGTGCCTCCCTACACACACAGACACACACACATACATGCACACATTTACACATAAGCAGGCACCCATATACACACCCACACATGCATGCACACAAATACACACATGTGCCCATATACAACACATATGCAATATACACACAAATATACACGTGCGCAATCATACATGCACACACATGCACACACAAAAGCCCCAGGGGTGGAATGGGCATCCCCAGTCTGCAGCCGAAGGGAAGAAGTGAAGATACCAAAGCTAACACAGGGGCCACCAGGAAGAGATATAAACACGATGCCCACAGCTGTGCTGACCCCACCGCAGGCCTTCCCAGCACCTGATTCACCCTCAGGGAGGCTGCCCAGCGGTCACCTCCTCCAGGAAGCCCTCCCAATCCCTATGCACCCGCACACCACCATCCATTCACCCACCTGGGGGCTAGGGGCAGGGTCCTCAGTGTGAAGCCTCCATTTGTCTACTCTGAAGGTGTTTTCAGTCTGGGCAGGGAGAGAGAAGCCAGTCACACGGGGAGGAAGACGCGTGGGCTCCAAAGAAGAGCTTCCCAGGGCTGACAGAGAGCCCCGCTCCCCGCTGGGGGACCTTGGGCGGCGTCAGGTGCGGCAAGTTCGGTGTGGCCTTGACAGCGCAAGGCGCGCGGTGCACAGAGGCCAGGGCTGTGGCAGAGTGGACACTTGGCCAGCGGGTGTCCCCGGCTCACCTCGCTTTGGAACGCTCTTTTCCTAGAGAAATAGGGTTCACATCTCCTCCCCGAACAGACCCGGAGCTCGACGGTGACCGGCGGAGGCGCGCCCCCGGCGAGGTGCGGTTCGCGGGAGCGGGCTGGTCCCTGGGTTTCCCGCTAGCACCGACGTGGGGTCGGGGAGAAGCCGCGAGGCGGGAGGGGGCGTCCAGGCCGCCGCGCGCCGCCTGCCCAGGTGGCAGAGGGGCCGAGCCTGGACCGGTGCCAGAGCTCCAGTGGCGGCCGCGCCCCTCCCGCCGTCCGGGCCCTCCCACTTCCTCCGCCCGGGCCGCGGCTGTCAGGGAGCCCGGCACGCAGTGCAGGCTTGAGGCGCCGCGCCGAGGAGGCTGCCGCTCTGGCTCGTCGCCCCCCCGCCGCCGCCGCGCCCCCGACACCCGCCGCCGGCCATGGACCTGCCCAGGAGCCTCGTGGTGGCCTGGGCGCTCAGCCTCTGGCCAGGTACGTGCCCCGATGCCCGTCCCCTGCGTCGTGGAGCCCTTCCCGGGCCCGCTGGGACTTGGGATCCCGCGCCGCGCCCCCCGGGGTGAGACCTTGGCTGCTCTATGGGACGCGGGTCCCCTGGGAACCGGCAGCAGCCTGGCGGCCCCGCCAGCTTCTGCACAAAGGAGTTGTGCGCCGGGGAGACTTAGAACGCGGACTTTGGGGGTGTTTGGGAAGAGTTGCAGAGGCTCTAATCGCGCAGCGCCGGGGGCTGCTGGCCCCACCGGGCGCCCGGGGTGCCTGCCAGGGCGGCGCTGGGCGTCCTGCGCTACCGCCGGGGCACGCGGGCGTCCCGGGAACGCGGAGGGCGCGCGACCCCGGCTGGGGAAGCAGGCAGAACGCGCTGAGGGAGCCTTGGCCGCCTGTTTGCCTCCCGAAGTTTGGAGAGCCCGGCGCGGTGGCCCGGGAGGGGGACCGGGCGCCGAAGACTGCGAAAGTCCCTCTGGCCCGGGGCCGGAGCGAAGCCCCGGCGCGAAATGGCAAGCCTTCGTCTGCCTGGTCGAGGGTCCCTGAAACCCGGGGTGGGCACCGGCATTGCCCACCCACCCAACCCGCGCCCGAATTATGTGATTATTCCGTAATCCGTACCAAGCCGCTCTCGCCGAGACGCGTGCTGCCGCCTAATGCACTCCAGGTGTTGGGGCGCAGCGCGGATCCGGGGCCAGAGGGGCGAGAGGCAGGCCCGGGGCTGCCGGCACCGGGGTACCGGGGCCCAGGCCTCTGCACAACTGCCGGCGCCACGCGGGGGCGGTGGCCAGCGACTTGTTCGGAGACCGAGCGAAAGCTCGCAGGGCCCCTCCCAAGTGATCTGACACGGGCCAGTGCCTCGGGGCTGGCCGAGTGTGGCCTCTGAGCTGGGCTCCCCCTCGGTGTGGACTCCAGGCCGGAGCTGGAGAGAGGCGGAGCCCAGGAGGAGACCCCCGTCCCCAGCCCACGGTTACTCTCCCTGGCCCCCAGGCACGTTGAGAAAAGAGTGCGCCCTTCCGTTCTGCCTTCTGTAATTGACAAGGCTTAGGGCTGGTGGGGATCTGACCAGACCCCAAAGTCACTGTGACTTTAAAGCCAACTCTGATGGATGGAGTCCCAGGGAGGGTGGGGAAGCGCCCATGCGCCCAGCAGACAGCAGCCACTGCTGCAACCAGTGAGCCCCTTCCTGCTGCAGTTAGACGGGAGGGGGCACCACTGCAGGGACAGCTGCCCCCCAGCCACAGGGAGAGGGGTGCACTTCCGTGTGGCTCCAGACTGGTGGCCCCACCAGAACCTGGGATGGAGCCGCCAGCTTGGGGTCTGGGAACTTCCAGAAGCTGAGAGCAAAGGCTTTGAAATCAGAGCCCGCTTCCAATTCCGGCTCTGCCGCCTGCGGGGGGACTGTGCCGCCCCGGGCCGGCTCTGCCGCCTCTCCCATAGGTTTCCCGTGTGTGCAACGCAGACGGCAACTCAAATCCACACACTGTCCCTGGGATGAAGCCAAGGGTCTGTAACAGAAGCCTCCCCCCTCCTGGGGGGGGGGGGGAGCTTGGCACACAGGATGGCTCTCTCCATGGCTGGCAGGGGTGCTACCCTGGGGAGGGGAAGGAGGTGGGTGCAGACCAGTGAAAGACCTCTGATGACACGGGAGCTGTGACTCAGAGTGTCCTGCATGTGGAGAAAACCACTCTGGAGTTATGTCTGGTCAGTTTGGGTTTTTGAAATATGGCATTCATTAAACATATCAATCCACGCTGGAGCGACCGACATCTGCTTGCAAGGAGCTGGGGGGTGGGGCCCCGGCCCGCGGGTGCAGACTGGGCCCTGCTGTAGCTGAGATCAAGGCAAGGCCAGGGAACACACGGCTCAGTGAGCCCCAGGACTGAGCCAGCAAATGAGAAGTTCAGCCTCAGCTGGATAAGCAAGGGAGCCTTCCTGGAGGAAGAGACGTAATTTGGATTGGGCACCGAAGGAGTGTGTGTGTGGAGTGTGTGGACAGAATTTAAAGTGAGATTGTGCCTATTTTAGCAAGGCAGTTCCTGCGATGATTAAAGAACCAGGACGTGGGTATTTTAAAGCCACAAAGGTGACTCTGGTCAATACGGGCTCTGGCAATTGGAAAGGTCTTAGGGTCATAGCGGCCATTCCCCTGGCTCCAGGGCAGGGTCCGTGTGGCTCTCTCATCCGTGCAGCAGGTGGTTGGATTCAATGTGAGGATTAGGAGGAAGCTTGCTTTCCGGTGACAGCACAGTCTGGCTGGGCGGGCAGCTGTCAGAGGCCAGCGTGGGCCTGCACCTTGCTGGGCGGGGCTCCTGCTGCAGGCTGTGCAGGGCAGTGGTGGGGACACGACTCTCAAGAAAGCCTTAAAAAAAATGAAGGAAATAACTCCGAAGACTTTCACAGCTGCTGTTCAGAGAAAGTAGCCTCAGGGGCCAGAACGTCCCAGCCGCTGCTTCTGTAGTCACACAGTCTTTCCTGAACACCTGCTGTCTGCCAGGCCTCGTCATGCAAGGCCCCAGTGTCCTGCTGCCTGGGGCTGACCCGGGCTCTGCCCAGCAGGGCCCTGTGCCCTGGGTGAGTCACGGTCAGGCTCTATGCCTCAGTTTCTCGGCCTACAAAGTATATAGCGCCAGAGCTCCAGGCAGGTTTGATCAGCACTATAGGATGATGATGGTCATCATCAAGGGGGTGACAATTCTGTGAGGATCTAAGGATCACAGAGATATGACTTTTTTTAAGATTTATTTTATTTATTTGAAAGGCAGAGTTACACAGAGAGAGAAGGAGAGGCAGAGAGAGAGAGAGAGAGAGAGAGGTCTTCCATCCACTGGTTCACTCCCCAGTGAGCCTCAATGGCCAGAGCTGTGCCAATCCAAAGCCAGGAGCCAGGAGCTTCTTCCAGGTCTCCCACACGAGTGCAGGGGCCCAAGCACTTGGGCCATCTTCTACTGCTTTCCCAGGCCACAGCAGGGAGCTGGATCAGAAATACAGCAGCCGGGACCTGAACCGGCGCCCATATGGGATGCTGGCACTGCAGGAGGCAATTTTACCTGCTACGCCACAGCACCGGCCCCAGAGATATGACTTTCAAGCACAGGTCTCTGAGACAAAGCTAGCAGAAGTGTGATGGAGGCTCGGAGGACGCCCCCTCACTGAGGCTCTCTTGGCTCCTCCCACTCACTCCCTACTCCCACCCCACCCCCAAGACCAGGTCCGAAGATTTTGGTGGCTGAGTTGCCGTGAAGTCCGTGCGATCTCAGTGTGGGTGTCTGTGGTGTTGCAGAGCTGGGGGTGGGGTGGGGTGGGGACTATGCCCTTCAGCCTGGCCCTGGGGTGTCCTTGTGGGTGGAGAGGTCCCAGTCAGTAAGAGGCCAGTCCGTGGATGTGCAGACTATAAGGGCAGCATGGGAAAGGATGCAGGCTGTCCCCGTGTCTCTCCATCGCCCACCCTGCTGGACGCTCCTCAACCCAGCCGCTGTCAGCCAAGGAGCCTGTGGCGCCCTGCACAGCACATGCAGCCTTGGGGGGCCTCGCCCTCTCTCTGCATTCTCACCCCACCCCACTCTCAGCCCTCAGTGGGCCTCCCCCTCCTGCCCGGTTTCCCTAGCCCAGCCACACAGCCTCTCATTGCAATCTAGCCCTCCCTCAGTGCTTAGGAGAAAACCATGTCCTGAGTTGGCCTGGCTCAGCTTTCGCTAATGGAAGAGGCTGGGAGCAGAGAGCTGGATCGGAAGAGGAGCAGCTGGGACTAGAACCGGCACCCATATGGGATGCCGGCGCTTCAGGCCAGAGAGTTAACCTGCTGCACCACAGCACCGGCCCGGGGCTGGGGGAATTTGAAAACCTTTTAGTTCCTCCCCTTAGAGCCTGGTTTGGGTGGCCACGTCTCAGTAGAGAATCGAAGATCTTTGTCTGGGACTGACAGCTGTAAAGAGGAAGCAGCCTCAGCATTCTCCCCTACTGGCAGCGGCCTCTGAGCTGGGAAACCACACCCCTGCTGCTCTTTATCACTTAATACCCCATCTCCCTCCCCACCTCCCAAACCAAGGTCACCACCAAGGATTCCTGGCTGTTTAAACCCCGCGGGCTCTCCATGCAAAAGGTGCATTATGGAAAATCCCTGATGCACTTCACATTTCTGCACCAAAATAAGCTTATCTTTTCATTTCACTTTTCCATGAACTTAAAAAAAAGGTTTATTTATTTGTTTGTTTAAAAGGCAGAGGTAGAAGGGGGGAGAGAGGTCTTCCATCCACGGGTTCACTCCCCAAATGGCCCCAACGGCCAGAGCTGGGCCAGGCTGAAAGCAGGAGCTTCTTCCAGGTCTTCCATGTGGGTGCAGTGGCCCAAGCACTTGGGCCGTCCTCTGCTGCTTTCCCAGGTGCATTAGCAGGGAGCTGGATCAGAAGTGGAGCAGCCGGGTCTCAAACCTGAGCTCATATGGGACACAGGTGCTGCTGGCAAAGGCTTAACCTTCTACACCATGGCGCCAGCCCCCCCATGAACGTTTTGAAGCCCCCTAGGATTTCCCCTCAAAGCCCATAGTGAGTTCCAAAGTCACACACCCACAGCATGGGGCACGTGCCATGGGGAGTGCTGGCCCAGGAGGGACCACTCCACCCTAGCATGTGAACCCCACCTGTGCGAAATCTGTGCTGGGTGCTCAGAGGTTTGAAACAGAGGAGAAAGGGCAAGAGAGAGACTGGAGTAGGTCATCTTATAAACCAAAAGTATATGAGGTTGCAAATTCCCACGGAGGGTAACCATCCGGGTACCTAGCACCCAGGCATCAGGCATGTGGAGTCCACTGGGAGGGGGCGTCAGCGTGGCCAATCCCCTCCCTGCCTCCTCACTTCTTCCTTCACTGGAGTGCTTCCAAGTGCAGTGAGGCTTGGGGGCGGAGCCAGATCGCCTTCATTCAAACCTTTGTTACTTGGGCGATCCAGTATAAGCGCCCCAGGCCCTGTCTTCCTCAGCTGTGAAATGTAGACTGAGCACAGCACCAGCCGGTGCTGCAGTTGAATGATGCATGCGTGATGCATGCGTGTCAGGTGCTCAGAACAGCGCCCCGCGCCTGGGCAGCCCTCTGCAAACCGGAAGTCATCGGCGCCCCCTCCGGCCTCGCTGCAGCTGCCTTAGGTCGCGATGGCCAGGCCCACGTTGTCCAAGCTCCAGACCGCAGACTGAGGATCAAGCTTTGGCTGAGCCCACAGATGCTCTCCTAGGACGTGGGCCTTGAAGGCACAGAAGAGGCGCTGGCATGAGGGGGAAAGTGGTCACCCCAGGCCCTCCCAGCTTCCTCCACGGGAGATCTGGCTGGGAGAGGAGGGGGCTTCTCACGGCACCCCAGCTCAGGACAGCCTCTCCCCCTCACTTGCAGCCTCCGCTGCCTGCCAGCCAAGGGCCCTGGCACCCCTGCCCTAGCGCCCGGTCACTCTGGCTGCCCCAGGGCTCCCATGCAGCCCATCCCCCTGGGTCTGGACAGAGGTCTCCTCCCAGCCCTGCGTGCCCCCATTCTCGCAACCCAAACCCGCTCTGAGCTCCCGCCGAACTGCAGGGATGACTGGTGACGGTTTGATGTGCGCTACCCAGAAGGGCTGGCACTTTAACTGGACCCTGTCTTTGCCTTTGAGTAAAGGGCTCACAGGGGACCCCCAAGCAAGTGGCTCTGGCAGGGACACCTGCCCGGCCTGGATCGCTCCGGCACAGGCAGGCGCACCCTTGCCCAGCCCTTGGTGATGTTGGACAGCTGCGGCCTCCAATGCAGCGGCTCTGCCCTGGGCCGGGCCGAGTGTTTTCCACGTGGCGTGTGGGGCGAGTTAGGCGAGTTCCCATGGCAACGCCTCCAGGATTCCAAGCAGGATGACAGGGAAGGCGTTTTTGCCTGCGCAGCAGCAGCGCTCACAGCCTTCTGCCCCCAACAACGTTGCCTGGTAGGGCCAGGCACCAGAAACTCTTAAGCCAGGGGGGAGTTCCAG